ACAAGAGCTTCTAAAAGAAGCATTACACATAGAAAGGAACAATCAGTATTAGCCTTTCCAAAAATATACCAAAAAGTAAAGAGCATCAACATAATGAAGAATTTACATCAACTAATGGGCAAAACAGCCAGCTAACATCAAATGGCAGTAATTCTAAATTTAAATCGACTAAATCCCCCAATCAAAAGATACAGCCAAAACCCATTGGTATGCTGCATCCAGACCCATCTCACATGCAAGGATACACAAAGACTCAAAACAAAGGGATGGAGAAAGATTTACCAACCAAATGGAGAGCAAAAATAAATAAATAAATAAATAAAAAGCAGGAGTTGCAATTCTTGCCTCTGATAAAATAGATTTTAAAGCAACAAAGATATAGTGGTAAAAGGATCAATGCAACAAGAAGAGCTAACAATCCTAAATATATACGCATCCAATACAGGAACACCCAGATACATAAGACCTATAAAGAGACTTAGACTCCCACACAATAATATTGGGAGACTTCAACATCAATATTAGATAGATCAACAAGACAGAAAATATCCAGGACTTGAACTCAGATCCGGAACAAGTAAACTTAAAAACATTTATAGAGCTCTCCACTTTAAATACACAGAATATACACTCTTTTTTTTTTTTTTTTTTTTTTTTTGAGACGGAGTTTCGCTCTTGTTACCCAGGCTGGAGTGCAATGGCGCGATCTCGGCTCACGGCAACCTCCACCTCCTGGGTTCAGGCAATTCTCCTGCCTCAGCCTCCGAGTAGCTGGGATTACAGGCACCCGCCACCATGCCCAGCTAATTTTTTGTATTTTGAGTAGAGACGGGGTTTCACCATGTTGACCAGGATGGTCTCGATTTGTTGACCTAGTGATCCACCCGCCTCGGCCTCCCAAAGTGCTGGGATTACAGGCTTGAGCCACCGCGCCAGGCCCATACACTCTTATCAGTATCACATCACACCTACTCACAGGTTTAAATGAAACATTGGTTGGCCATTATTAAGCACAATTATTGGCATAAAAGAGGTTTTCAATACCCATTTTTAGAATAAAGCAACACTCCGGTTCTCTCTCCCTCTTTCTCTTCCTCATTCTTCTCTTTCTTTAAAAAAAAAAAAGAAAGAAAAAGCAGAAGGCACTGTCAGCAGCAGTGGCCGACTCCTTGACAAACTCTCCAAGCGACAGTCCTGCTGTCTCCCTGAGTGAATCAGTCACACAGCAAGCCTCCCTGGACAAGGAGAAGCCGGTTGGTGTTGCTGCCTCCTTGTCTGACATCCCAAAGGCCATGGAACCTGGGAAGCTGGAATAGGTCTGGCCCCAGGAGCTGTCAAGAGTCAGGAGCTAGCTCCTACCAGTGGGGAGAAGGCCAGGCTGAGCAAGGCCCCTGGAGGCAAGAAAAGCCTGAGCATGCTTTACTATATCTGGGGCACTGCACCCAAGGACATTCCTGTGCTGCTGTCCCACAGCACCAAGGGAAGAGCAAGCTATGGGAGCCCTTTGTGGTGGAAGAGTTTGCACATCAGTTCCATGAGTCAGTGCTGCAGTCCACCCAGAAGGCCCTGCAGAAGCATAAATGAGGTAATGAGGCTGCCAGTCCTCACTCAGCTCCCAGCTGTGGTTGAGGCTGGCCAAAGTCCCTGAGCGGCCACAGCTGCTCAGCCGTGGGCACAAATATTATATAAACTGCAAGCACTAGAAGAAAATAATGTTATTATGGAAAAAAAAAAACAAAACCTGCCACCTGCTGCTGGAACTCGGGACACCTGAGACTGCCTAGGCAAGAGTGAAAGCCTGTCTTAATAAACAACAACAAAAAAGCTAAACTGTCAGTGCTTTGGAGGAAATTTGTGCATCAGCTGGATTTGCTAAGGTTTATTAAACTGCAACTTCTATGGAACGTTCTTGGTAATGTCTATAAGCAGTCCTCTGCTCAATGACCTTAAAAGTCATTCAACATTCTAATCATCTTTCTTGGAAATTACCATCTCTGATGTGATGTGCATGAATGGCATCCCTGGAGAATTTCAATAACCAAAGCTGGGAAAAAGGCAGTTACTCCTCCCTTCTTCATTTCCCCTCCTCAAAGATTACAGCTAACTTTTATGTAAGTCTTTAGTATTTTCCTATTGGCCAGAAGTTTCCCATGTTCTTTCTCATAGCCATTCTTCAGTCTCTCTTTAAATTTTTCCTTTGGGTCTTTTTTTTTTTTTACATAGTCTTGCTTTGTCACCCAGGCTGGAGTGCAGTGGCATGATCTAGGCTGACTACAACCTCTGCCTCCTGGATTCAAGCAATTCTCAGGCCTCAGCCACCCCAGTAGCTGGGATTACAGGTGTGCACCACCACACCAAGCTAATTTTTGTATTTTTAGTAGAGATGGGGTTTCACCATGTTGGCTAAGCTGGTCTCAAACTCCTGACCTCAAGTGATCTGCCCACCCTGGCCTCCCAAAGGAGATTACTGTGTTGAGATTACTGGCATGAGCCACTGAGCCTGGCCTTCTTTTATTTTTTTGAGACAAGGTCTCACTCTGTGGCCCATGCTGGAGTGCAGTGGCACAATCACAGTTCACTGTAGTCTGAATAGCTGGGACCACAGCTTTGTGCCACCATGCCTAGCTCATTTTTGTATTTTTTGTAGGTACAGAGTCTTGCTATGTTGCTCAGGCTGGTCTTGAACTCCTGGGCTCAAGCGATCTTCTTGCCAAGGACTCCCAAAACACTGAGATTACAGGCATCAACTATCAACCCCCGCCCATGCCTCATTTTCAAAGAGACTGAGGAAAATCCCAGAAGACTTCCCAGAGGAAGTGACATTTGTCTTGTATGAAATTTTGGCACATGGACCCAATCTGTGTGGGCACTGCTTGAGAAAAGGCCAAGAAATACAGCAAAAACTATTTGCTCTGAATATCAGGTTTGTTTTTGTTTTTGTTTTTTTTGAGACAGAGTTTCTCTCTGGCACTCAGGCTGGAGTGCAGTGGTGCGATCTTGACTCACCACAACCTCCACCTCCCGGTTCAAGCCATTCTCCTGCCTCACTCTCCCAAGTAGCTGGGATTACAAGCACCTACTACCAGGCCTAATTTTTGTCTATTTATAGTAGAAATGGGTTTTCACCATGTTGGCCAGGCTGTTCTCCAACTCCCAACTTTAGGTGATCCACCTGCCTTAGCCTCCCAAAGTGCTGGGATTACAGGCATGAGACATAGCTCCAGCCTGCACTGAATATCTTCTATTTCCTCCTCCAGATCCATTCTTCATTTTTCTCCACCCTGTCTTACATCCTGGGAGCTGACTCATATGAACCGCACAGCAGCAGACTTCATTGCCCTGAAATTTCCAGTTGGACAATGGGAGGCACCAATAAAAGAGAATGACATTTAATTCCCATGGGTCCTTCCCTCGAAGGTCACCATGGATTGGCTGAATCCCTCCACTGAGGACTGAAACTCCTATCAGGTGGCTTGGTGACTCTCTCTCTTTGCTTTCAGGTAAAAGTTTTGTCCCTTCAGCCCTAAAGATATTGTACCATTTCTAATTGCTTTCCTATACTCTGCCCACAGCTTTGTAAATAGCTCCTGTATTAAGCTCTCCTCAAATTATCCATTTTGAGCATGCCATCTGTTTCCTGCCAGACCCCTGACTGATACGGTGTGTTTGATTAATGGGTATTAGTTCAGACTAGCTGGAGCATGAAGTGTGTGTCATGAAACAGTAAAACATCATGTAAGAACAGTAGGTTGAAACAGATGGTGGAAGGGCTTGTCTTCCAGGCCAGGAAGCCTATGAAATAATAAGAATCTCAGAAGGTTTTAGATCAGGAGTGACATACTTTAGGAAAACTAATTTAATAGCTGTATGCTGAATAGTTTAGAAACTGGAGATGGGGAGATGAGTTAAGAGATGATTACTTTTACTAATAGAGGAAGATAACATTTTGTAACCATCAAACTGGCAAAGACCCAAACATTTCCTTTTAGTTTTTGAGATGGAGTTTCGCTCTCGTGGCCCAGGGAGTGCAGGGGCACGATCTCGGCTCACTGCAACCTCCACACCCCAGGCTCAAGTGATTCTCCTGCCTCAGCTTCCCAAGTAGCTGGAATCACAAGCGTGCACCACCATGCCCAGCTAATTTTTGTATTTTTAGTAGAGATGGGGTTTCACCCTGTTAGCCAGGCTGGCTTCTAACTCCTTACCTCAGGTGATCTGCCTGCCTCAGCCTCTCAGCAAGCTGGGGTTACAGGCATAAGCCACCACACAAGGCCCCCCTTTTCTTTTGATACAGAGTCTTGCTCTGGAAGTGTAGTGGTGTGATAATGGCTCACTACAACCTTCTCTTCTCAGGTTCCAGAGATTCTCCTGCCTCAGCATCGGGAGTAGCTGGGATTACAAGCATGCACCATCACCCAGCACTTGGAAGACTGAGGGGACAGACTGCTTGAGCTCAGGAGTTTGAGACCAGCCTGGGCAACTTGGTGAAACCCTCTCTACAAAAAACACACAAATTAGCTGGGGGTGGTGGGGTACACCTCTAGTCCCAGCTACTTAAGGGGCTATGGTTGGAGGATCATTTGAGCCCACTAGAACCATGAGCCAGACCCTGTCTCAACAAAACAAAGTGAGTGGGGGAAAAGGACTGGTACTGTGGCTCACGCCTGTGATCCCAACACTTTGGGAGGCCGAGGTGGATCACCTGAGGTCAGGAGTTCAAGACCAGCCTTGCCAACATGGTGAAACCCCATCTCTACTAAAAATACAAAAAATTAGCCAGCATGGTGGCAGGCATCTGTAACCCAGCTTCTCAGGAGGCTGAGGCAGGAGAATCCCTTGAACCTGGTAGGCTGAGGTTGCAGTGAGCTGAGATCACGCCGTTTACCCTCTAGCCTGGGCAGCAAGAGCAAAACTCTGTCTCAAAAGAAAAAGAAAAAGACTCAGGTAGAGTGATGGCTCTCCAAAGGAACTGAATGGCTAGAGACAAAGGAATTACCTACTTTTTTGTTGTTGTTGTTTGTTTTTGAGAGTCTCACTCTGTTGCCCAAGCTGGAGTGTAGTGGTGCGATTTTGGCTCACTGCCATCTCTGCCTCCCCGATGCAAGCAATTCTCCTGGCTTAGACTCCGGAGTAGCCGAGTTTTTTTTTTTGGAGACAGAGTCTCACTCTGTCGTCCAGACTGGAGTGCAGTGGCACAAGACCAAAAAGCAAAAATACTTTAGTGTTACACCTGTTATGCATTTAATGGAAATTACAAGTAGGAGCCTATTACAGTCTCAGGCCGTAAAATACCGAAAACATACACAGTGTGACAGTAAGTAAACTTCGAGACGCAATAAGGGGAAAAGTCCAACGTGGAAAGTATTTGGTAGGAGTGAAGAAGAGTGACAACTGCTTAGTCCCACTGGATATTTCGCTCCTCTTCAGGAAGAACACTCCAGTTTGGAGAGGCCATATCCCGGGCCAGCCAGTTAAAGTCGTCAACATCGTTCCAGTTATTTTTGCTCCTATCTAAACCAGAGCTCTCGAAGTCCTTATCGATCTCCGGGTAGCTCCAGGTGTAAGGGGCGAACTGGATCCCACTGCAGTCCTCCACGATGGCCCTGCTAGTCACCTGCAGGAAGATGCGAGTGTCTTTCGTACTGTGTATGCGGAGCTGTTGGCAGGCTACTGCCAGCACGCAGTCACTGCAGTCCTCCAGGAAAACAGAGGTGGACACCGGACCGCAGAGCAGCTTGCAGCCGTGGGCCTTGGTTAGCCGCAGGGTGTTGGGATTTCCATACAGTTTGACTGTGCAGTTGCTCAGTTCGGTCAAAAGGACGTCGCGCTGGTGCAACTCGCTGGCTCTCTTCTCCAAGACTTGGGACTCCAGGTTGGAGAAACCACAGACCCAGCTGGAGCCGAGGTCTCCCTCCGCCTTCTGGGGCAGCGGGGAGTCCTGGATGCTTTCAACTGCCGGGGGGATGCCAGGAGCCGCGCCTACTTTGGTAGACGAAGCAGCATCTTTTCTCCGGGTCTTGAAAGCGAAACGCTTCTTGGGCTGCAGCTCCTGACGCCGCTCGGCCAGGGCCGCCTGCAGCCGCACCAGCGCCTCTTGTCTCTGCCGCAGGTCGTAAGCGGCTAGAAACAAAACCGAGTCGTTGAGAAGTTTCTGCAGCCCCTGGAGCCGAGAGGCCGCCTCCTCTAGCAGTTCAACCGACCCCGCGCCCTCCAAAAGCTCTTCCACGGCCGCCCGCTCCCGAGCAAAGGCGGCGGTGAAAAAGTCGCGCTTCTCCTCCTCTACCTCCTGGTTCTGCCTCTTTTGTTTCCGCCTTTCCACTTCCAGCTGCCGCTCTTGTTCGCGTCTCTGAAGCCGCTCAGGCACCAGACTCAGGTCCCGCTGGGACTCCATACCCCCGTTCCTGACAGCAGCAGCAGAGCAACCAGCAGACTCGATCTTGACTTAAGGCTTCCTCTCTCCTGCCTACCTTCCTCCGGGCGCGCTCTCCGTGAGGCCTCCCACCAACGCGCCCAGTGATTGGCCTAACATGGTGACGTCATACCGCCGGCCTTATTTTCTTTGCCTATTGGTTCCTCTGCTTTGGAGGGGGCGGGGAGACGGGGCGTGGCCGACTGACAAGTGGGGGTGGGAAGACAAAGGTCCTAGTGGATGGGTGGGGTGGGAGGCAGGCGGGGGAAGCTTTTTTCCTCTTAAAGGGGCAGGACTTATATCCGGGATTGTGGGGTGAGTTGCAGCAGCGGCAGCTGCACATGTGGGTTTGTTTATAAGAACAAGGTTAGAAACTCGCAGGCCTCCCCCTCCCCCCAGCTCCTCCCTACTACCCCCTTACAGGCCGGAGATGCGCTACTGGGGGTGTGGGTGGGAGGGATGAGTGCGTGTGGTGGGTTGAGGGGACAGGTAGTGGTGAGAAAGATGGAGGGGGGGGAATATTGCACCGCCCGGCCCTCGCCGGAGGAAGCAGCAGCTGGAACAGCTGGCTAGGGAGCCGACTGCATGCCTCCGGTTTTTTCTTTCCTTCCACCACCCCTTCCCCCAACCCATTTCTGCCGCCCCTTAGCCCTCATCCTTCCCTCCCCCCTTCCCCCATTTCACTGCAGTTCGGCGCGGCCTGGGGGGCTCCTGGATCCCCGCAGGCAGTTACTGGGGCGGGAGAAGGGAAGGGGCACTGCGATGGGAGAGACTGGTTTCCTCACTGCAACTGGGTTCGAGGGGCCCTGGGGGAGTCTAAAAAAAGATTACTACATTTTTGGCCAATTGCTGCAGTCGGAGGGGTGGGGGCGGGGGAAGGTGAGATTCACACCCCCTTCCTCTTTCTTCCTGCCCTCCCCCAGCTCCATCCCGGCCACTCCCTCCGCAGCTGGGCGTCGCTGGCCGCGCCGGAGTGAGACCCCAGCCACGGGCTCCGCGGCTGTCTGGGGCGGTCGGTCTTAGGAAAGCGGTGGGAGAAGCGGTACATTATTTCTAGAGGTGGTGGGAGGGATTTGTCACCGGAAGTGAATGGCCTAGCCTAAAGTCGGGACCAACCCGAGGTGTGGGTGGGCAGCCGAGACCGCGCAGTCACTGGCAAAAACCCGAGGCAGCAGGCCGGGCGAGAACCCGAGACGCTGCGGCTGCCCGAGCGCTGCAGCCGCGCACTCTTGGTTCAGCTCTGCGGAGCTCCCGGACCTCCTTAACCCTTGCCCGTCCCTGCCCGCCCCTCCAACCCTAGGTCTCATCCTTATATCCCCAGTTCCCAGCCTCCGTCGTTTTTAAATTGGGGTACTTAACGGCCCCAAAACCTTGAAATTTCACCGATCTACCTGCATTTGGATGCAGAGAAAGATGGGAGGAAACGAGAGCCATTGAATTATATCTGAATCGCCTATTTTCACGCCCCACTCTCTTCCTTTCCTTCCCTCTTAAAACACACATAAATTGCTGGGCTGAACCGGGTATTTATTTCTCCGCTGAGAGTCAGCACAGTTCATATACCGTGTGGCAGATTCCGCGCGCAGGCCGGGCGGGGGGCAGGGGAGAGGCATGTGTGTCGCGTGTCTGCTTGCACCCGATGGAAAAGGGGGTGCCGAAAAACAATGGTGCTTCCTCTTGTGCATAGGCATCGTTTTCACTAGTCTTGTTTTATGGGCAGGATAGGTGAGCCTTTTGTTTTGTTTTAAATAATAATAATAATTATTATTATTTAGAGATGGAGTTTCGCTCTTGTCCCCCAGGCTGGAGTGCAATGATGCGATCTCGGCTCACCGCAACCTTCGCCTCCCAGGTTCAAGCGATTCTCCTGCTTCAGCCTCCTAAGTAGCTGGGATTACAGGCGTCCTCCACCACGCCCGGCTAATTTTGTACTTTTAGTAGAGATGGGGTTTCTCCATGTTGGTCAGGCTGGTCTCAAACTCCTGACCTCTGGTGATCCGCCTGCCTTGGCCTCACAAAGTGCTGGGATTACAGGCGTGAGCCACCGCGTCCAGGCTTCCTCCAACCCCCACCACCACCACCACCAGAAAAGCAGGTTTTTGTGGGTTTTTTGTGTGTTTTTTGTTTTTGAGACGGAGTTTCGCTCGTGTTACCCAGGCTGGAGTGCAATGGCGCGATCTCGGCTCACCGCAACCTCCGCCTCCTGGGTTCAGGCAATTCTCCTGCCTCAGCCTCCTGAGTAGCTGGGATTACAGGCACGTGCCACCATGCCCAGCTAATTTTTCATACTTTTTAGTAGAGTCGGGGTTTCACCATGTTGACCAGGATGGTCTTGATCTCTTTACCTCGTGATTCACCCGCCTCGGCCCCCCCAAAGTGCTGGGATTACGGGCGTGAGCCACCGCGCCCGGGCCCAAAAGCAGGTTTATTTCACAAAACTGTGCCTCTGAAAGCTGGTGGATGAAATATAGCTTGTTAACTTGTCCAGGTCATGCGGAGGAATTGCAATAGCTGCTTTATTTTATGAAATGTTGATTTAAACAAAGAAGATTCTGAGATTGATTTTTCTGGAAAAAAATCAACTACAACCTGACCTGCTTAAGTTTTTCAAGTTGAACCCGTCTCACTCAAATTAAGAACGTTTGTAGCTAAAGAAGGTTTATTGGACTTGGAGGTTGCAGCTGGAGTGAGATAACATTTGTGTACTAGGCATAGTGAATGTATGGGTGTTGTAAGTGTTAGCTTGTATCCCACGTAGAATGGAATGTTATTAAACCCTTTTAAGAATTTCATTTCTGTCCACCAGTAGGTTTTTGCTATAGTCCAGTATACTTGGGAAGTTTCTAAATACTTGAAGTTCAAACTTTTAAGAAAAGGAAGCAGTTAAAGACAAAGCTTGACAGGTCACTCAGTTGATCCAGTGTGGTAGGGGCAGTTTCAAAGACTGAGGTGAGGCTGAGGAGGATTGGAAAGGGGTCAGTGATATGGTCATTGTGAAGCATTGGCTTGACAGTTCTTTATAGCCCCCAGCACAGCTGCAGGCTGTGAGGTATGTGGTCAAGAAACAGAGATAAAGCAGTTTCTGAGCTCAAACACAGTAGGAAGGTTGCCAAATGGCTGGCATTGCCTGGCTGTGTTTGCATCCTCTCTCTGCCATTTGAGGGCAGTGGATTGGGCACGCATCTTTGAAATAGATCCCAACTTGTCAGAGGTAAGTGCCTGTTTTGATGGAAGGAGAGTAGGGAATGCATTACAGGGGAAATGTAGCAAAAGGCAAGCAACTGTGAGCTCTGCGTCCCACTTTCAATGATATCTCCAAGGGCTTGTGAATCAGGGTACTGCTCTTGTAGACATCTTGAAAAATGAAACAATTCTAACGTGTTCTGGACTTTACCATTTATTTGACAACAGTTTAGATACTTTATGGTTCTGTTTGTTAGATTTAGATCGCCCCCTTTTTTTAAATTTTTGAAAATTTCCAACACACATAACATGGAGAGAGTATTACAAGGACCCATATACCCATCACCCAGCTTCAACAACTGCTAACAGATATTAAGTAAATAATCCAGGAACAAAAAGACAAATATCACTTGTTCTCACTCCTATGTGATCACCTGGAGAGTAGAATGATAGTTACCAAAGGCTGGGAAGTGGAGGGAGACTAAGTGAGATTGATTAAAGGATACAAAGATACAAGTTAGATAGAAGGAGTAAATTCTGGTTTAGATGGCACAGTAGCCTAACTAGAGGTAACAATAATGTATATTTCAAA